CCTCTATATTGCTTGGGTGAAAGTTGAACTAAGCAGAGTAAGTTCAATTCCATACCAGAAGGGTAACTAAGGACCATAGTCTTGAGGTTCCAACAGTCTTTGACCATGTAGGTGAGACATTTTTACATGACAAATTAAATTCCAGCAATGTGTTCTAAATCGCTAATATTTGGTTGAGTTAAGGCACTCAGTTGATTAATGAAACTAGAAAGAATTGGTTTGGCTTGAAACATTAGTTTTGATTTGATTGAAAATTGCTTAACAAATATCAGTGACTTAGGATTGAATGCTTAGTATGGGTCAGTGAGTGTTGTAGATGCTTTAAATCAATGTGTCCAATGCTCATGATAATCCTATGAAGGTTGGTGCTTGCTTTTGTCTACATTTTAACTGAGAAACAAACTGAGACAGTGCAGTTAAAAAACTGACTGGGTGTCATAAAACCAATAAGTTGTATGGAACTGGCAGGTGAGCCCAGACAATTTTTACTCCATAGTTCTATGTCAGCAATTCTCAAATGTTTTGGTCTTGGGACCCCTTTTGTTGTGGTTGTTAGGTGCTGTTGTCAAGTCAGTTTCAACCCATAGCGACCCTGTAGAGGGTCTCCAAGGAGCAACTGGTGAGCTTGAACCACCAACCTTGCAGTTCAAACTGATTTTGCAGTCTAGCGCATTTACACTCTTGAAAATTACTGGGTTGCTTAAGAACTAGATGGTGCCTGGGTACCATTACCAACTTCCCTGAAAGGGATCACACATTAGAGGGTCCCAGATAGAGTGAGCGAAAATGTGGAACAAAACTCAAATTTATTTAATAATAATGAAAAAGACCAGGCTTAGTAGTCAGAAGGAGACTGGATGAACCTGAGACAATGGCCCTTGACTGCCATTCATGTCTGGAAAGGAACTGTTATTGCATGGAGGGCATTGTAATCACTGAGGTGAAACAAAGTATATGATTTGTTGAATATAAAGCTGATGATATTGTCTGTAAACCTTCACTCAGTTCACAATAAAAAGGTTTTTGTTTTATTTATTTTTTAATTATTGGGTTATATGGACCATATTTATCAATATTTCAGTAAGTAAAAATGGCAGTGTTTTAAAATGTTTGTAAACCTCTTCAGTGTGTGACATAATGGAAGACAACTGGGCTTTCATCTGTTTCTGCATTAAATATACTGTAATATATTGTTTTGGTTGAAATATATGTTGAAAACCAGCTTCACATGTATATGTATATATATATGTAGCTGAAAAAGAATGTTTTAATAACATTTCCATATAATTGTGGATTTTCTTTAATACTACACCAAAGATGAACACATGGTTAGTTGCAGTGTGGAATCTGAAACCATATCAAACTTTTCATGTCCTGTTATGACTTTGAATGAATCTTTTGCTCTATATGATTTTATAATATAGTTTATTGGTCTGAATAGTTTTCTTGAAGGGACTTTCTTATTCCTTTTCAAGAAGTCCACATAAACAGTTTGTTTCTCAGTCATTTTTTTAAAATAAAAATGGTGTTCCTTCAAAGAGATAGCTGGTAGAATTCACAATGTGAACAATTGCACACCTGCTTTTCTTTGAAATAGCCATTCTATTTTGGCAGACAGCAGAAGTGCTTTGTGCATATTTCCCATTTTGTCATCCCAAATATTAAAAAGACATTTAACTCAGGTTGAGATTTAATACAATTAGTAGTTTTACTGCTTCATCAAGGACAGTGTTAGTGAAATTGGCCTTTTTTTCCTCTTCCCTGTGAGTGCATGGCAATAAAAAATACAGTGACCATTGGCAGGAGTTTGGCATCGTTAGTGCAAATATCAATAAAGTGAAAAAGGAAAGTAATGTCTTAGTATTGTCATGAAATGGATTGGAGTTTCAAATCCCTTGAAAGGGATTCAGAGACCCTTCAGTGTCTATGGATCATACCATTGGAACTGTAGTTGTATACATTTCTGGCTTTGCAGAAACCTGATTAAATCAGAGCTCTTGATCATTTTGCATTATAGCTGCAAGAACCTAGCCAATGATTTCTTGCCTGTCACTTCGTTTGGAACACGGTCTGATGTTGCTTAACATTAATAGATTTGTCAAACATGTATACAAGTGGTTCTTCTTGAAGAAATAATGCCTCCCTGCTCTTTGGGCACAGTAGTGTCGTATACCCACTCATCTTGATAAAGCTAGAATTCAGAGATCCTCAGAACCCTTGTAAAACAAACAATTCTATATCTTGAGAATAATAGAAAATTTTCCTGGTGATGGAAGCAGCTTATTAAATATAAGGCATTATTATATGGGGGTTTGGGAGGCAGCGAGCATCATTTTGAAAAGAATTATCTCTGCCTGCATGGCATTAATCGGAGCTGCTGCTACAGTGGAGGTAACCATGTGAAGAGTTAGTTAGGTTACCGGGAGAAGCATCTGCTCAAGATCTGGGTTCCAGGCCTTGATTTGTCACTTACCAGTTATATGTTTTGAGGTAAGTGACTTAACTCTTTAGACCTCAGTTCCATTTTCTATAAATAAAATATAATAATCTTGTGGGTTATGTTTTGTTTTTTTGTCAGCTTTATTGAATTATAATTACTTTTAATTAAATGTTCACCATGATGTAGGTAGTCCCCATCTTTCAATATACTCGTTAGGATCAGCTTAAAACTGCTCAGATTTTGGTTTTGTTTGCTTTGTTACATTAGTAATATGTACTACATGCAATGTAATTTGTTGATGTTGTTATTCTCATGCCAACCCCCAAAAGACAAATAAAGACTGGATTTATAAGGAAACTGATATAAAAGGCAGATGGTGGTGGGGAGGAGAACAGCATTCTGTTTACAATAGAACTGACTCAGATGGAGTCTTGGGACTGCCACCCTATTTTAAGTCCGGTACTACCTGTACAGTTGATGACTTGTCAGTTGATTACAAATCTATGTTATACATACAACAAAATCTAGAACATTTCCATCACTCCAAAAGGTTTCCTTCTCCCCCTTTGAAGTTAGTCTCCTTATTATAAAAGATTAATACTGCTGGTTTTAAAACTTCATATGAATGGAATCTTGCTCTTTATGTGTGTGTCTGTTTTGCTGTTGCTCACATAACATAGTTTAAGTTCATCTATGTTGTTGCATGTATCAGTGATATGCTCTTTTTATTTTGGGGTAATATTTCACAGTACAATTGTTGTTGTTAAGTGCCGTTGAGTTGGTTCCCACTTATAATGACCCAGTATAGGATTTCCGAGGAGCAGCTGGTGAGTTTGAACTGCCAGCCTTGTGGTTCAAATTAATCTTGCAGTCCTGCATTTACTTTACAATGCCACACCAGGACTCCTCATGGTACCATGCGCATGTGATTTTTATTAAGACTAAATGAATGAGACAATTAAAGTACATAGCATGGTGCCTAGCATGTATTAAGTGTTGAATTAATGTTAACTTAAAAAACAAAAGGTATAATATGCGGTGTTGTTTGATAATTTATATGACAGTTCCACCTCAGTAAAATTACTTACAAACAAGAACAAAAAAACAAATAGCAGTCGTAGACTAGAGACAGGTCAATAGGTGTTGTCTAGAGTCTATACTTTAGACCCACAGTCATTTAAAAGAACCTATTTTCCAACTTGTTTGTGTGTGTGCACAATAGTATTTTGCCATGGGATAACAAAGGAAACCATTAAAATGGCATCGTAATCTAGAACAGAGGTTGAATGCATGTCACACTGTAAATATTTTAAATTTGTGGAACATAAGGTTTCTGTCATAGTTACACAACTCTGCCATTGTAGGTATAAACCTTAGACAGTACATAAATGAATGAGAGTGGCTGAGTTGCAATGAAACATTGTATAAAAAATAGCAGTAGACCCACAGGCCGCAGTTTGCTGACCCCTGGTCTAAATAATTCATGTATAGGAAAAGCAGCACAATTCTTTGCCAGATAATATTTATTAGTGATGCTGTAGCAACACAGTGCAATCAGACTACCTTTATTAAGATGAAGCTTTATAAAATGCCTTGTTTGGGAAATCTGTGTGTGGTACTTATATCACCTTTTTGTTTTACAGCCATCTGTGAGAAAGACACATTGCAGTGGTAGGAAACACAAAGAGAATGTGAAAGACTACTATCAGAAATGGATGGAAGAGCAGGCTCAGAGTTTGATTGACAAAACAAGTACGTTTCAGTCTCCTCCATGGTGTGGAAGAATGGTTCCATTCTTTCTCATCCCTGTCACTCGGTGGTTTTTCACAGAAACAGCTCATTCTGAATGATAAATAGGGGTATTCGGACATGTTGAATGGAAGAAGTGGAAGGTCATTGGTTTCCCAGGGATATAGGAACACAATGAAATTAATAATTGATGATAGAACAGATCAGATATTGGTTAAGCTGAGAGACAGGGCAGAAAAGAATCTAGTTGCCTAACCTTTGCTCCACAGACATGGACCAAATTTTGTAGCAAATTTATATAAACATTTGTGTAGTGACCCACAGGTTTTAGAACTACTTTCCTGTTATAACTGGAGAAGGCATGGTGTGGAATTGTAGTTTTGTCTAAATATTTTGAGAGACTTTAATCAGGTTTCTTATTCCTTATAGTTCTGACAGAGAACTAGTCAAAAAGAAAGTAATTGATGTTCAAAATAGTCTGAATATGTTTTGCATTCCTGTTGCACATGCCATACTTTGTTTGTTAATTAGGAACATTTTTGTTGTTCAATCTAGTTGTGTTCAAGGGACTGACAGAAAGATGATACATTCCTACTTTATATCATCCTAGTATATTTGAAACATGGCTTTTCTTAATCATTCATTATACCCAGAGCTGGAAGGCAAATGTGGACTTTGTGATTTGATTTTTTTAAACCAGAACTATTTATTATGGAAAATTGCAAAGTAGAAAGAAGTTTAATGAATGAGCCCTCCTCCTCCTCACCCAGTTGCAACAATTATCAACTCATGGTCAGTCTTGTTTTATTTATGCCAAGTTTCTCAACCTTGGCACTACTGACATTTTGGACCAGATAATTCTTTGTTTGGGCATGGGAGGTGGGGTGGGCTATCCTATACATTGAAGGATATTTAGTAGCATCTTAGTAGATGCCAGTAGCAAACTGCAGTTATGACAACCAAAAATATCTCCAGGCATTGTTCAATGTCCTCAGGGGGAAAAAATCACCCCAGTTGAGAACCACTGAATACCTTCATCTACTTCCTCTCCCCTCCTAGGTTATTATGGAGCAAATCTCAGACATCCCATTTGTTTGCAAAATGAATTAAGATGTAATCTTTTTTTTTTCTTCCCCATTTGAAAAGATGTTAGACATTTTTTGGCATTAAAAGGTTAGTATTACATTCTCTTACTTATTTTCCATATGCAGCAAAATAATTTAGGATGTGTAAACATTTTTAATGAAAGACTTTTGGAGGAGAGAAGGCAAGTCCTTAGAGACTCAGCTTATGATGTCTGTGATTGTGTTGACATTGAGTCTGCTACTGAGACAGCAGTTTAGCCTCTCCACCTTTAGTCTTTACCAGCTATCCTCCTTCACAGGGTGTGGGAGGTGTCTTTTTGATTGCAAAAGGCCCTTGTTGACCTTTATATCAGGCACAAACTATTCAGAGGCAAATGAATAACCTCAATAACCATTTCAGGTCATTCTTTTGGGGATCTTATTCTCATGAATTATCAATGGTGATTTGTGTCATTTGATCTCCTTTTACTAGTTCTGGAGTAGAATGGGGTATGCCTAGGCTACTGACTGCACTGAATTGGCAAGAGTTTAGACTTAAGAATAGACTGTGGGAGTGTGTATTTGAGGGGGTTTTTTTGTGTGTGACTCCCTTCTAAAGCCAAATATTAGGTTCTATTGTTTCTATCATAAATTTCATTTGTGCCTCATTGTCTGAAAGAAAAATTAAAGTTGATTGTATTAGTCTTCTAAGATCATGTCTCCATTAGGACATCTTTTGTTTATTCCTCAGTGCGTTAATTTCAAAACTAGTAAACCAAAATCACGTATTGTTTTGACTCAATACTGCACACATAGGACGTTTCTTAGGGTTGGCCTTTGGGCATGTATCACACATATTTCACACAAAACTCTGAACAGATAGAACTGGTTATAAATCATATCTACAGATTAAATGTGACCACTTCTGTCCAGTAGAAGACATTGATAGGTAGGATGTTTTCATGCGGTTCTCCCCTGGTTAAGCCAGAGAAATGCTGGCTAAGTAAAAACAATTTAATAAAACCCAGTGATTAAACCAAGTAATTGCTATTTTAGCTGGTGAATACATAAGGTTGGTTTTGAAACTATAGAGGCCATGATGTAGTAACTAGTTGAATACTTGTTAGCGTGAAATAATTTGGAACCATTAAACACGTAAAAGAAAGTGGTTATTTTAGTAAATTGGTTGTTGAATTCTTATTCATTGCATTTTGTTTTTCTTTCCCCCTCCTCTCCAAAGCGGCTGCATTTCAACAAGGAAAAATACCTCCTACCCCATTTTCTGCTCCTCCTCCAGCAGGGGCGATGATCCCGCCTCCCCCCAGTCTCCGTAAGTTTAAAGTTCTACATTTTAAGATAACTTAAGCTACCTCACTAAGGAGCTCTGGTAGCATAGTGTTTACGAATCCGGCTGTGAACCTTAATGTCAGCAGTTTGAAACTACCAGCTGCTCCGTGGGAGAAAGATGAGGCTTTCTGCTCCCATAAAAATTTACAGCCTTGGAAACCCTGTACAGGGTCACTATGGGTCGGAACCTACTTGACGACACTTAACAACAAGCTACCTCACAGTTGACTTACAAGTGTTCATTGAATTAATACAGAGGTTGTAATAGACAACAACTTTTGCAGTATAGTTTCTGGAAAAGCTTTAAAGTTAGGATGTATGTGGTATCCTAAGTAGGGATCTAAGAGATTCAAGTGGAAGGACAGAGTAGCTGTGATTAGGTGAGCTAAGTATTGCTAGGTACATGAAATTGTTTACTGCTGTGAACACAATACTATATGATTGAAACCACAAACTCCTCAATCTCTTACCCCTATTTTCTAACCCACGTAGCGCCAGTGTATGCATCTTGGTGAAAGACAAGAATTGCATAGTTGAAAGTAGAGAGGACCTAAAGTCTGCACGCTGGAAAGATTTCGTTTGTGCATTGCAGAGAGAAGCAGAGTGACTAACTAGGCTATTGGTTCTTTAATTTTCCTGAAAAGGTTTAGATTGAAATTCAATCAGAGACCTAAACTCAATGTTGAAACATAATCATGAGTATAAACACATTCAGGCTGTTCTAGTTGTTGCCCATTAATATGGGTGGGAGGTCCCCGGGTGGTATAAATATGGTTTGAACATACCCAGAGGCACTTTTGAAGATCTGCTTCTGAAAGATCACAGCCTAGAAAGCCCTGTGGAATTCTGCTCTGCACAAATGGGATAGCCTTTAGTTGGAATCGACTGCTCTGTAGCAACTAATAGCAGTGCAGGTAAGATGGGGCAGTGGTGGTTCAATGGTAGTTCTTACCTTCTATGGGGAGACCTAGGTTTGATTCTTAGCCACAGTACCTCAAACACTGTCTATTCCTCAGTGGAGACTTTTCGCTATGATGTTAACAGGTTTCAGCAGAGCTTCCAGACCAAGACAGAATAGAAAGAGAGGCCTAGGGGGACAGGGATGGGAATCAACCAGTGAAAACCGTATGGATCACAGCAGTCAGATCCTGTTATGCATAGAGTATTCTACTTGACTACAATGACAATGCAGGTGGACCTTTAATGACTAACCATTCCCTTCATGGTGCTCACTGCCCTGGACCTGTCTCACCTAAATGAACTCCCCAGGTCACCTGTCTTTCACCCCACACCATCTTCTCAGCACTCATTTCCATTTTCTAAAACAGATTAGTCCATGATATGAAAGTACCTTAATTCATCTCATCCTTTTCCTACTGATGTATATTATTTAAGTTGTTGCGAACTTTTATTGTTGTAAATGATATCATCAGGAACATCTAAATCTGCATTTGAGCCTCTATATTTTTCCTTTTTTTTGTTCTTAGCCTCTGTATTTTCAAAGTGGTGGTGGTTAATTAAAAAGCACTTGGAATTTTTTTTAACTTGGGTAACCTAACTTTATTTAAACCTTTGTCAAGCAGGCTTGCTCTTGATTTTTTTGCCATAAAGTAACCAGAGTTTGTGATGTACAGATTTATGCAGAGCTCTGGTAGTGTAGTGGTTACGAATTGGGCTGTGAGCCGCAAGGTCAGCAGTTCGAAACTACCAGCAGTTCCATGGGAGAAAGACGAGGCGATCTGCTCCCGTAAAGATTTACAGCCTCGGAAACCCTGTACCAGGGTCACTATGAGTTGGTTCCGACTCCACAGCACATAACCACCACCATTCTTATAAAATAATTCATTAGAGACATTATTAACAGAAGTTGAACCAACATATACATGAGACCGTATTGTTTAATTGAGAGCATAAAATGTCTCAATATATAAATGTACTTTAACCTTAGGTTTCATTCTTTATTTCAGCGGGTCCTCCTCGCCCTGGTATGATGCCAGCACCCCATATGGGGGGTCCTCCTATGATGCCAATGATGGGCCCTCCTCCTCCTGGGATGATGCCAGTGGGACCTGGTAAGTGTGAATTTCATTACTTCTGGTATGATTCTTTGTATTAGGCTTTTTCCAATTACATGGAATTTTAAATTGTCTAATTACGGCACTTAACAACAACAACAATTTGTTATTAAAAATTACTAATTTAATGAATCTTTAATGCTAAAGAAAAATATTTAGTTATCAGTATAATTGGATGAAAGGAGTCCTGGTGGCACCATGGGTTAAGCATTGGGCTCTTAACCAACAGGTCAGTGGTTTGAATATACCAGCTTCTCCATAGGAAAACGATGAGGCAATCTCCCTCCCTAAAGATTTACAGCCTTGGCATCCCTAAGGATCAGTTTTCATCAAGATTGATATGAGTCAGAGTTGACTTGTTGGCAGTGGGTTATAATTGGATAGCACAAAGACTTGTGCTTGTGAAAAAATAAAATTGCCCTTTTGTTTCTTTTCCCTTCCTCCTATTTCCTTCCCTCATCCTAACTTTTAACTCTCCTTAAAAGGAGTTCTGGTGGTGAAATGGTTAAATGCTTAACTGCTAACCAAAAAGTCAGTGGTTTGAACCTACCAGCTGCTCTTCTGAAGAAACAATTGGCAGTATGCTCCCATAAAGATTATAGCCTGGAAAACCCTTTTGGACAGTTCTGCTCTGTCCTATAGGGTTACTATAGTAACCTATATTACCAGCATTTAATGAAAAGGACAAATAAGCTTGTTGTAGTTCAGTGCCATTGAGTCAGTTCTGACCCACAGCAACCCTGTATAGGGTTTCTGAGGAGAGATGTATACTATTTTCTCAGTTTTTGATTTGTAGGAGATTTACTTCCTGTTGCTGATTTAATCTTACAGTTAACTAGATAAAATCAGTATAGCAAAAGGCCTTAAATGTGGTGGTGGTGGTGGTTGTGTGCCACTGAGTCATTTCCTACTCATAATGACCCTGTATAGGGTTTCAAAGGTTGAAAACCTTTACGGAAGTAGAGAGCCTCGTTTTTCTCACATGCTACTGACCGCGTGATTAGCAGCCCAACTGCTAACCTGCTAGACTACCAGGGTTCTTTTTAAGCTGGTAGTTAGACTTTTGTTCAGAAGACAAATCGTACTCATACTTCAAACCTTTGAACTAGATATAGCCAAAGGCTAACTGCAAAGAAGTGGCGATTAGACATAGCTCTAACCTCCGATCTTTTTGATACCAGCTCTCCTTCCCACAGTGCTCTCTATTTCTCTTCTGGTTCAATAATTCATTGCAGTGGCCACATAGACCATCCTTACAGTTAGGGGGTTTATTGGGGAAGTAACTGGTTACATACAATTCAGGATCAAAAATGACTCCAGATATAGTTTAGAACAACCTCTCCTTAGCTGTGCCCCAGTCAGGCGTTTCTTTGACCCACACTCAAGCCTTTGTCTTACTTGGTTTGGCAAGTATTACAAAGCTTTTTAGCTTTTCCAGTAAGTACCCAGGAGCACCCTACTCTACCAGACAGCCTTGGCCCAAAGTTGCTCAGCTCTTTCACTCCGTGGGCCAGGTATCCCACTATACTGTCTCATACTGGTCTCCTGTTTCTACTGACGCATTTCTTGCTATGTGGTGTTACGACTCTTTTTCTCTGTCTCCTGGGCCTAGGAGGTTCTCAGTGCAGGAACCCCAGGTCCAAAGGATATAATCTGCTCCCATTTCTTCTTGGCTGTCATGAGCTTCTACCTACCTCCCCATGTGGAATTGCCTCTTTTAAGCCTGTTATTTCTACTCATAGCAATCCTGTATAGGGTTTCTAAGGTGAAGTGGATAGGTTTGAACTGCCAATCTTGTGGTTAGCAATCCAGTGCTTATCCTATAGTTCCACACCAAGCATTCCCATTAAAGCCTAGCAGATGGCAAAACTAACCAGTCCCCTCATTAGAACAAATACACCCTATCTGTATGGCCTAACCCCCAAAAGATTGCCCTGCCCCTTATTCACAGTATAAGTAAGTTGTCCAATCCCCTTTATGGGCCACAACATCTTATTTGCATATTCCCACCCAATTATTTGGTGGGAGTTAATAAGACCATAGCAAGAAAGGCCATATAAAAGTGATCCACCACACTACAGAGTGGGTCTGCTGGCTGTAACACCTTATCTTTCTTTCATAACTAATAACTATGCCCATAATGCCTCTTTCACCAACTTTAGTTTCCATTTCTTTTCAGTGTTAGAGATTTTATGAGGCAGTCTAGTTCCAATCCTAATGATAATCTTGCTTATCAAATTTGTGAGCATTTATTTGGGATGATTTGCATGAGTTTTTGTTAGTGTCAACAACTTTGTTTTCATAGAAACAATTATCTTTTACCCACATTTTATTGACTTGCAGAATAATTTCATTATGAAACCATAGTAATAAATAAAACTAACAGTACCAAGTTTGAGAACAGTTGCAACTGCAGTCTATAACTGAACTGGGAAGATGAGGTGCAAAAGTATTAGTTTTCTAACCAGAAGTGTTCAGTAGGCCTGCTATGTGTTGTCATGTAGCGGGATTAGAGAGTATGAACAGAGTTCCTGACCTACTAGATTGTGGACCCAAAATACATCAAAAGTGATTTAGAAGTTATCTTGAGTATTCTTAAATCAAAGGTTGAAAACTCAATCCTAGGGGATCCAGTAAGCTGAGGAATGTATAATCCCTCTAAAGAAGGCTTGTAGAACTCAAGCTTCAGTTTATATTGACGTTTGAGAATGCAGGCTTGGTCTTTCCAGGTCCCCTTAGTGTATATGTTTATAAAGAAAAGCCCAGATCAATGAAAACATTAGAAAAATTGACTGAGATGTGGGTATATCTAGATACGCAGTTTTGGCTGTGGGTTGAATGATTGTTGGTATTGGATGATGAGTACATGGATTTTATTATACTTTTTTCCTACATTTGTGTATGTTTGAACAGTGGTAAATTGTTTACAACAGGGAAAAAGGGCATCTAGATGTGTATATGAAGTCAAACTTTACAGGTGGCCAATTCTTAATCTTTGGTCAAGTTCAGTTTTTTCTAAGCAGTGCGTGAATGTAAGCTTGTGTATTGGTATTTGTAAGGAGCCCTGGTAGCACTGTGGGTTATGTGGATTATGAACTGCAAGGTCAGTAGTTTGAATCTACCACAGGAGTTAGATGAGGCTTTCTGATCCCGTAATGATTTACCTCCTTGGAAGCCCTATACAGGGTCTCTGTGAGTTGGAACCAACTCAGTGGCACACAACCACCACCACATGATATTTAGAAGTTTACTAGTAGTCTTTTTCCTGTTGAAAGTGGTCTTTAAAACATTCAGTACCTCGTGGATTTTGTTTCTTTAACATACAAGCTTGTATCACTTTTTTGATAAGGCTATGTTCAACTTTCAATAATATTTTCTCTTAAACCATTCACTGGAAACTATTTAGTTAAAAATAACTAGGTAAAATTTGATGTTTAAAAAGAATATTTGTTGTTGATGGTGCCATCAGATCTGACTCATAGCAGACCTGTGTAGGGTTTCCAAAAATTGGCTGTTGAGTTTGAACCATTGACACTGTGGTTCTCCTACAGTGTCACCCTAGGACTCCAAAAAAAAAAAAAAAAAAGAACACATATAACATGAAAATCATGAGACATGATAATAAATTGAATCCCCATAGATTCACCACCTAGCTAAGGAAGAAGAACATTGCCAATTCCATTGAAATGCTTGTGTTCCTCCCCAGCTCCAAACCTTTGTCCCTTCCCTACCCTCAAGCATATTTATTTGGCTGGTATATTGTGGGAACACTTTTTTAAAAAATAATAGTTTCTAAATGCATTATAAAAACCGAATGTTTTATGTATTCATTGTTATAAATCTCACTATCGCCTGTTATCTTTCTTAACATGTGATAAGTATGGTCACATTTTCTACAACTCCAGGAAATGCTTAGTGGTTATGGTACTGTATGGTAAGTTCTGGATTGCTAACCGTGTTAACTGCAAGATTAGCAGTTTCAAACCACTAGCCACTCTTGGAAACCCTATACAGGGTCCACATCTGACTTGATGACACACAACAAGATTTTTCTCTGCACCTGCACACATTTATGAAGTAGCTCTGGTTGTATGGTGGCTATAACTGATTCAAAAAGCTGACAGAAAGATATATGATTAGTTGTGAATTTACCCAAGTGAGAAAAAAGGTCAGTTTAGGGAACTAGTGTCTCTGGTGATTTCTGGGAAGTAATCTACTAATAGTTTTCCCCTTCCTATCATTAGATCATGATCTCACATGGTTCTTGTGCTGATCTGTGTGTTTTTGAGCCAGGGTGAATTTGCTGCATTTCTTCTGTTGAGTATGTCTTTATCCAGCAGTGTGTTTGTGAGAAACAGGTGGCACTACTTTTTTTGTTATTAATCAAAGTCCCATCATACTCTCATAAGTGGTATTTTCTGACTCCTTCTTTCATTTCTTTTTGTGTGTGTGTGTGTTGTCTTGCAGCTCCTGGAATGAGGCCACCCATGGGAGGCCACATGCCAATGATGCCTGGGCCTCCCATGATGAGACCCCCTGCCCGTCCTATGATGGTGCCCACTCGGCCAGGAATGACTCGGCCTGACAGATAAAGACAGAAGGCAGCCTCTTTGTATCGTTTTTCTATTACTTCACCAGGAGGTCAGGTGCTGTGACTCTGGGTGTCTCCTAACAGCACAAGGAAGACTTGTTATCCCTTTCTATCAAAGAGAAAATAGTGTTGAAGTGGAGTAGTGGACAAAAAAAAAAAATGTACTGCGACATGTGAAAATAAAATTGTCAGCTCTTTTAGTTAAACATGTGTTCCCTTTTTTCTCCTGTGTATTCATGTACTATAAAGGAAATGAAATATCCTAATTGTGTTTCTCTAGCTCATTTATCTTCAGCATGCTGTCTGCATGAGGTTTTTTTCCCTTTGGGTGTAGAAATAGGTTTTTTCGGACCCTCTGCCTTTATTTAGTAAACTTCTCTTGTAGAACTTTAATAAATCTACTATTGTAGAGCTTTTGTTGATTGAAATAATAAACAGCACAACTTACTATTTTTTTAAAAAATGAATAATGCTTTATGTAATAATTAAGCATGGCTTCTATTTGGTTCTTTCTACTTCATTCATGGTTTATTCATGCCCAGTAAAGCGAAATCAGCACAGACTAGAATTTGAGTTCCTAGAACAATAATCAAAATGGGAATATTAGCAACTTTCAATCTTCCTCTTAGAAAACAAGAGCAGTGTGTGTATTGTGTTATATAGTATGCAAACCTCTTGACAGGCAGTCCAAAACAGCAATACCTGCTCATAGGTGGTGGCCAACTACGTTGCTTTGAATGTTTGTTGCTCTCCAAAGTCTTGGCAATAATCTTCCTGTATCAGGCTCCTGAGAGGAGTCACTATGCCTCTTCCAAGTCTCCCATTCCAGGGCTGCAGCCTGTAATTTTTCCCATTCCAGTTACCATTCTAGGTACCTATATTTTGCAATTTTTGGTCCATCCAGTTTCATTTCTTTAGCCATGACTTTACTGGACAGAACTCAGTCAAAACCTTGGGTTTAGGTATTTTATGTTGACATGGGGCAAAGTATTTCACATAGTTTGTCACCTCTTTTTTGTGTGTGTTATTTTTCATATTCTCAATCTTTACATTAAAAGACAATAAAAACAAAACACCCATACCTATTTGGAAAATTGGCTTAAGACCTATCAAAAATATAAGTGTATAATATAAAGAATATTTTTATCTAGAAACTGAAATGATAATAAGTATATTGTGTCTTTTTGTAGAAACTTGTGAATAATTTGAAGAGGTGCTAGTTTAGGTAAGGAAACCACCTTATCTGAGTAAACAAGGAACTAGAAATAGAGATCCTACTGAAGAGATGATCCTTTGACAAGACTACTTGTTCCTTCTTAGTTTCTTATTCAATCACATCTTTAAATATAGAGTATATGACTTTGAAGCCCAGAGAACTCTGTGGCTTAGATTTGTTAACTTAAAAAAAAGTGTCAGGGGAAATCGTGCCAATTAAATGACTAAGCAAGTTTCTGTTTCGCATAGAACCATCTGAGTGTCTTTTTTGCATAGGAAGCCCACACATACCTATTTAGATTTTTAATTTTTTTCTAGAGTATGTTTTTAAGCTTGAATCGTCATCCTAGAAACATTTCTTGTCTTAGAAGAAGATGTCTTACGTTGCTTCGGAGAAAGTTTGATGACTTAAAAGCTTAGCAAACTTTAACTGAAATGAACAAAAGTAAGGACAGATATTCTGAGATACTTTTTCTATTTTTATCAAAGGGCAAACTATAATTAAAATGAGTGACTATAAGACATTTCATTTGTAAGAGGCTGTGAAGACTACTTGCTATTTATGCCTTTAGGCATCTGGTTTTAATTCTAAAGTATTAACTTAGGTGAGAATTTATTTAGGAGCACACAAGAATACTAAATGATCAAGAGTATAAGAAGTTAGTATAGATGTGAGATGATGTACTTGCTTCTTCTGTAGATAAATCTAAACCATTCAGAATGCACTTAAAGTTCTTTTTTTTTTTTGCATGGACTTTTCAGTGGTTTATCAGAATGCCAATATCCTTGATACTAAGCTGCATAAGAAATAGGATCTCCAAATTACCTGTGGCTAATTTGCTCATTTTGTATGGAAAAGGCCAGTGGTAATTGTTTTTATCCAATTGCATACCTTTAATCAGATGGTATCTTAGGTTTCTAGATATGTTTTTTGATGAACAGATGAAAAAAGTCCTGACTCTCTTCGCTTCCTAGTGGTGTTATTGATATTAGGTGCCATTAAGTTGGTTCCAATTCACCGCAACCCTGTATACAACAGAATGAAAGACTGCCCAGTTCTGCACCATCTTACTACTGCCATAACATACTACAGGTGGGTAGCTTTAAAGCAAATCTATTATTTTCTTAAGAGTTGAGAAAGCTAAAATCAAAAGAGTGTGGCTCTAGGGGGAGGTCCTTCTTTGTCTCTCATCTTCTAGTAGCTACCAATCCTTGGGGTTCCTAGACTTAGAGATTCATTACTTAATTGGCATCAGATATCTGTCTCCCCACTGTGTCTGTGTTTCCTTATCTCTGTGTTGTTCAGTCAGCTCTTACTCTTACTGAACTTAGTATAGCAGAATGAAACCATTGCCCAGGCCTGTGCCACCTCCATGATCTTCGATATATTGGTAGGGTATGGCACTGTCAGATAAGCACTCAACCATAAGGTCGGTTTGACCACAAGTGTCAACCACAAGGTGACACTTTCTGACACAAATACAACATCTAACTACTTCAGACAAGGGTAAGAATAAGATAATTTGAAGTGTTGCTTACTGTCGTGTTTTTTGTGGGGAGGTATAAGATCATTTCAACTTGTAGAAAAGGTATAGAAATTATACAAAGAACACTTAACCTTTATACAGATTCACCTATTTGTACTATTGTACCCGTTTTCATTTGCGCCTATTTACTTTGGTTTGCATTTCAAAAAAACAAGTACTTTTCTTTTACACAACTGTATTTGTCAAATTCAGGAAATATCATTTTAATTTAATTTAATCTCCTAACTATATTTCAGACTCCTGCTGTGCTGTAGGATCGACTGCAAACCACAAGGTCAGCAATTCAAACCCACCAGCTGCTCCTCGGATACCTATTCAGGGTCAGTATGAATCAGAATTGACTCGATGGCACTTAACAAGAACAATAACTGTATTTCAGTTTTATCCATTTGTCTTTGTAGCATTTTCTCCACCCTTTACAAGATCCTGTTGCTTATCATGTATTATATTTTGGAGTTATATATCTTTAGCCTCCTTTCATCTAGAACAGTTCCTCACCCTTTCTTTGTCTTTTATGACACTGACAGCTTCCTTTTGTTGAATAGAATGTTCCTTGCTCCTGATTTTTCATCTTTCTGACGTTTCCTCATAATTACATTTGGATTACACATTCCCCGTTATATCTTCAGGATATTACATCTAGTCAGGACACAGTGTCTGTCTGCTCCTATTGGTGGTATTAATTTTATCAGCCATCAAGATGTCCAACTTATACATACTTGCTCTTTTTCATTAAGTGTCTTTCTCTAGACTGTCAGGTAACACAAGCAATTTACTTATGTCCTCATCTAATGAAAATAAACATTGAAATCAGAATATAAAGTGAAGATCTCAAAGCCCTTTTAAAAGAAGTGCTTAATCAGCTTTTACAATGACTCTGAAAACAGATCTCCAAATCCTTCTATCCTGGACATCACCTCCTGGTAATTTTGGGTGATGTTGTTGTGTTATGAAGTGCCGTTGAGTCGATTCCGATCCATAGCAACCCTATATAGGGTTTCCAAGGAGCAGCTGGTGAGCTTGAACCGCCAACCTTGCAGACTTTGCAGTCTGGCGCATTAACCCACAGCACCACACCAGGACTACAATTTTGGGGGATAGTTGAAGTGAAATAGGACAAAGAATTTTACTTCAGTACCCAAAATGCTACATTTCCCCCTCCATTCCTGAGGACTCTGCTGGTGGGGGTGAAACATGTAAAGAAGGAAAAAAAGAATAACCTGATACAGTTGTTGTTATGACAGGCAGATGTTACTAAATGCTTCCCCCACCCAAAAGCTACTGCTGTTGAGTAGGTTCAGACTCATAGCAACTCCGTAGGACAAAATAGACCTGCCCATAGAGTTTCCAGGGGAGCAAACTGACACGTGTTTCTCCTACAGAGCAGCTGGTGGGTTCAAAACAGCCTGCCTTTGGGTTGACAGTTAAGCACTTAACTATTGCACCACCAGGGCTTTTTTTTTGCTCGCCTTAGTATCTACTAATATCCCAAATAGCAGTTATTGTTGTTAAGTGCCATTGAGTTGGTTTCGACCCATAGTGATCCTGTATAGGGTTTCCTAGGAGCAGCTGGTGAGTTTGAACTGCTGACCTTGAGATTCAAAATGACTTTACACCCTAGCGCATTAACTCACAGTGCCACACCACAACTCCTAATTTTTTTTTTAACGGATCCCAAGTCATCAGCAATAAAGTGACATTTTCCAAAACTTAGATCCAAGTGAAGGCATGGCTAAATTCTGGCCAATAAGAGATAAGCAGGAGGGAACATGCCTTTTTCTGTCCTTTGTCTTTCCTCTTGCTTGTAATATAGATCTGTTTGGAACCTAAGTAATCATCTTGGACCATGAGTTAGCAACTAAAGATGGTGTTAGCAAATAGATGGATCATAGGTCCCTGATGATCAGCAAGCTTCCATGGATAGCTTACCAAAGAGTTCTTTTATACAAGAGAGAAAAAATCTCAATGGTTTAAAATTAAGAAAGGTGTGCGACAAGGTTGTATTCTCTCACCATACTTATTCAATCTGTATGCTGAGCAAATAATCCGAGAAGCTGGGTTCTATGAAGAAAAATGGCATCAGGATTGGAGGAAGTCTCATTAACAACCTGAGATATGCACATGATACAACCTTGCTTGCTGAAGTGAATAGGACTTAAAACATTTACTGATGAAGATCAAAGAGCACAGCCTTCTGTATGGATTGCATCTCAATGTAAAGAAAACAAAAATCTTCACCTCTAGACCAATAAACAACATTGTTATCAACGGAGAAAGGATTGCAGGTGTCAAGGACTTCATTTTTCTTGGATCAACTATCAACACTCAAAAGCAGCAGTCAAGAGATCAAACCACATATTGCATTAGGCAAATCTATTGCACAAGACCTTTTTTTTTTTTTTTTTAACCTTAAATGTTTTATTGTGAATTATGTGATAGTTTACATGGGAGAACATTAGTTTTACATTCATTCTATAATATATGGAATACAATCCCCTC